TCTCTCTCTCTCTCTCTCTCTCTCTCTCTCTCTCTCTCTCTCTCTCTATCTGCAATAATGTACTAATTTTACCTATTGGAATTAATAATATACTGCTCAAGCACGTATAGTTATCAATAATGTGCTATATGAATTATTTTATATTTCCATAACAGAGCACAATATTAGTAAATAAATGAGGCTGTTTACATTAAAAACAGAAAATGTCCAAAAATTAAGCTCGTGTTGTGTTCATTAAAGATATCGCTATATCGACAGCATTTATCGACTACAGTAATGCACGATCCTGCGCTTAAATAATAGACTAGTGCCTACTCGTAAGTGGGAGAGAGCGGGCGCAATATCGCTGTCCCGTTCCGATAATTTATGGCAGAGTCTGCAGCGAGTAAATAATCTTACTATAGTTGTTTTAACTACGAAGTAAACGAGGAAACTGTGCTTTGACAGGATCACCGAGTCAGGCTTCCGACTTGAGCTTCGATGAAAACCTTCGCGCCCTCAGACATATACACGAGAAATACGCCAACATTGACAAGGTAACTGTTAACTGTGATAATTATTATTTTGAACTGGCTTCAAAAATGGAGCAGGTTCTCAATTCGACTTCGAAGTCGAGGACTACGTGTATGTGCTGCAATTACTCCGGTATTTCGACCCTTTCTACATAAAGTATCCTATGTCGAAATTGCCAAGTTTACAGGGGAGCGTTTGAAAATTTTGAATTCACTGAAATGAACAAAACACGTGACTTTAGCACTTCTCAGTTTTATTTGGCAAAACTCGTTACTTTAAAACTCGTTCTTGAATAAAACTGAGATTTGTGAACCATTTTGATGATTATTTTATTGATGAAAAAAGGGTAATTCAGTATTGGTCCCATTTAAATTTGCAAACTAGGGATTGAATCCGGTTTTGCGCACTTTCCGGTAATCGATATAATTAAAAAGAACTTTTGAGTTATTCTGTTTCATCTTTTGATATGTGTTTGCACGCCCTGAATCTCGTGACGTCATTTATTAATATAAATTGACAGCTAGTAGAAAACTCATCTTAATTCTCACAGACATGCTCATGCTTAGGTTGCTGATGTACAATCGAAGGTATTTTGTTTTCCCACAGGACGACTTATACGAAGCTCATCTACTGGCTGCAAACTTTAAGAAGCCACCAACAGATCAGAGACACAGGGACGATGACGAGGTGTTGTCCGTGCGAAGTTCCGAAGGTAAGCTTTATTAGTATAGCACGCCCGGACCACACCACCGACACTCCATACAACGGTCGAAAGTTATTTACCTACTACTACTACATACAGAAAGGCGATATTTGCACACGCGCAAATGTGTGCGTGAAGTGACAGGGTTAGTCATTTAAGAAAGCGAATCTGTTATCTTTAATTCTATTATTACACATGTTCATTAGGTATTTATATCGATAAAATATTATATTTTTCATTAATTCCCTAACTAGAATAACATTGAAGATTAATTAAAAAAATATATTAAAAGCCTTAAAAGATTGTATTTTGAACAGGTACCTAAATAAAGTAACCAAGGTATCTGAAATTGCGTGTCCAAGTTTATCATTACCTAGTTCATAGTTACGTATATTCACTACGTAATATTTATCGGCAATACAAATAGAAAATTCGAGAACCATGGCGTCTCATTATATTGATATAATAAATCTGTATTATACATTACTCTGCACTAAATAAACGAAGAAAACAATAACTGAATGAGTCTCAGACATAAGTTTTCGTCATTTTCGTTTCATCTTTCGAAAAACGAAATTAACTCCTCTCTTTATCCCGTTTATATGATAATAAACAGCTGTACACAGCACAATTTGCGACCATTATAAATAGTAACGTTCAGTGCTGTTATATATTAACATCAAGTTTCGTGATGAATAAATGAAAACTATATTCAAATATCAAAGCTTCTTGACGCGAAAATGGCTCGCCGACAGCCGTGTTGTCTCTGCCCCGGACACTCCATATAACGGTGAAAACATATTTACCTACTACTACTGCGTACAGCAAAGAGCTTTCTGCATACACGCAAATATGTGCGTGAACTGGTAGAGTTATCCATCACTTCCTTGAAGTAATAGGGGTTAAAGTATGAAATTGCCGATTTGTACTGAAAATCTAAATTGTTTATTTTTTTAATTTTTAACAAATTTATTTAATCAAAATAGTTGCCATTATTATCTA